TGTAATAATATCTGGCTACAAGCAAACTATTAGCACAACTTTAGTAAATTAAAGGCAAACTATATAAAGATGGTAACAAAACAACTCTAGAATATTTCTACAGTTCTAATGTAACTTGAATATGTATAAAATATTGCCATCATGCTTTCCGCCTAAACTTCAACAACAATTATACTTAATACGGTACGATATTTCAAGAATCCATTTTAACATGTACAGTTTTTTTCATTTTGTGGAAATAGTATAACAGTTTCGTAGATAGCATTTGCAACATAATCCAAGTTGAGTTCATTGAGTCCGCACATGTTTATTCTACCGCTTCGTAACATGTAAATATGATAATGATTTACGAGATGTTCCACTTGTCTCTCTGAAATAATATTAATTTGAGTGGATAGTACATTAGTAAACAATCATTTTGCAAAATACCCACCAGTAAGACCAGTGTAGGAAAACATTCCTATTTGTTCTTTAATGTGTTCCCATGAACCAGGTGTTCCTAAGCGAACCAGTCTTTCATACAAAATTTGGCGCATTTCCTTTATTCTACCAGACATTGTAATAATATGACCACTCCTGAAAATGTTTAAAATAGCATAAGTAAAAAATGTGTTATATTTTCGAAGTGCTAATTACTATTATTATTATCTAAATAATACATATACCATTCTTTGAATAGATCAGGATTTCGCAACACTGTTGCAACTATCCTTGCTCCATGATTGGGAGGATTGCTATACATTCCTCGAACTATCAACGTTAATTGAGACTTAACTTGAGCTGTTACTTTCACATCAGACATAACAACTACTAAATTTCCAACTCTTTCATTATATAATCCAAAATTCTTAGCAAAACTTTGTGCACACATGAATTCTATACCACGTTCAGCGAACATTCTCACAGCATAAGCATCTTTATCTAAATTACCACTTGCAAAACCCTAAAAATATTTGATTTAGGATATAAATTGTTTAATTTAGAAGTGAAAATCAAATTTTAAATTGTTCACCTGATATGCACTATCAAAAAGTGGGTACAATTTTTTCTTCTCTATTAAATCAGCTATTCTAGACCATTGCTCAGGAGTTGGATCACATCCAGTAGGATTATGAGCACACGCATGTAGAATAATTACTGAATTTTCTGGTGCATCATCAATATCTTTAAGCATTGCTTCTATATCAACATTACGAGTATTTGGATTCCAGTATGTATATTCACAAGCTCTTTTAAATCCTCCACTAATGAACACAAGTTTGTGGTTCTCTGTGGAAATATTATATGCCTTACATATTAAATATTCATTCTAATGAATGATCATCTTTAATGCCTACCCCAAGTAGGTCTGCTATAATAAAACGTATCGTAATGTAGTATACGACTTAAGAATTCAGCTGCAACACGTAGTGCCCCAGTTCCAGACAATGTTTGAATAGCAACAACACGACCTTGAGCAACAATAGGGGAATCTGTTCCTAGTAGCATAGTTGTTGCTGCTTGGCTAAAAGCATCTAATCCCAAAACTGGAAGATATTCATGATTTTGTAGTTCATCAGCAGCTAATGATTTCTCTACTTTTCTGACAACTGGTAACACCCAAGGTTTGCCTTCAGGAGTACGATAAGCTGAAAGTAATTTAAATTAATTAAAATTCCTTTTGATATTAAATATGTTACAAGAAATTAATTAAAAACAAAGCTATTCGTGATAATCTATCACATGAAAAATAAGAACTATATGTAATACATGGTATCTTATGTAACAGCCAGATATTGCTGGAGGTCATTCAATATCAGATTCGTGTAACTGAACAAATAGTACGAAAAATACGATTTGAATGTTAATTTTTACATTTTTATATGTTAATATATTTTTTTTGACTGATTAAAAGATATATATATATATATATAATCGTACTATTTGCTCCTGCGATTGTATAGTTTAAATACATGTAATAAAATAAAAGATGTATGTATTGATACCTCCTATTGACAAATTTACTTTCTTTTCGTAAGTATCATCCACAAAAGCTTTCTGGAGGGCGAAAACCTCTATCGGAGGTCCTAGTTTAACCCCGCTGAATCTTGAGTTCATCTTCGGTAATTTTAAATATCAAATGCAAGCAACTGTGTAGCTAACAATTTGAACTAGGAATTGAGCTGATCGCACTGGCTCTTGTGAAACAAGAATACATTTATTTTACAGATACCCTTTAATCACTTTATGCCACGTATATTCTGATTATCAATTTCTGATACTAATGATGATGAGATATTACAGTCCACAAATTCACACTGATTCGATGCGAAAAACTTGTCAGCGAATGCATCATACGCGCGAATCCGCGAATGTTAACCGACTTGATGAGTAGATGAGTAGTTTAGAGTTTAGATGATATTTGTATGTGTTAGAGCGCAAATGCTACGCGGATGCTACGTTTTATGCTCGACGTGTATATGTACTGTTCTATAGGTTGCAACATCCTCACATTTAAAAAATTCGTATCTTTTTCACGATTCAAACAAACATCAACGTCAATGAATAATGTCATAGTTTTACAAAAAAGCAATGACCTTCCTCGTTATTCCTTCTACACCTAGCAAAATATGATGTTGTAATTTATTATGTAAAAACAAAATATTTTACATTGCTTATGTTGAAATGTGTACAAGATTTTTTAATATATTTTTATGTATATAGAAATTATTTTTTATAATAAGATTAAATTAAATTCTGCTTATGCTGCAATATTATTTTTCAGTTAGTTTGGTTCGATTAGAAATTTATCAATAAAATGATGAAATTTTTGAAAACTCTGCTTTATCGATAGTGACGTACAGTTTCAAAGACTATATGATAGAGGGCATCGTTCGCGCGTAAACAGAACAGGTAAACGCGTCGGGTCCGGTGGACGCATAGAATTCCAGGACACTTCGGTTTGGTTCAGTCAGTGTAAAACAACGGACAGTGTGCGTATCGTGTATTGTCTTGTGCCAGTTGATCAGTCTTTTCCTCTGTTGTTTATTTTACCTGCTTATGCTCACGCATTTTCGGATTACTGCGTGGCAAGTTCATCATAAAGTGAGTACCGCCAATAATATATATTTCAACAATTTTAATTCGTCTCTGCGAGCGGGATGCTGTTACTCTGTTGCAACACTGCGGAGAGTTTTTTGATATTATACATCGTTTATTCACTTTCACTGTGCAGTTGCCGCTTGTCGAATGTCAGATGTAAAAATTACTTATTTGAATATCATTAACGAACAAAAAACCTTAAGAAAAGGTAAACAATTATCAACTTTAAACTACTTCGCGTCCATCATAGCGTTCACAATGCCCGTAAACGATGTACATATCTCGTGTTGCGACATGATTGATCGAATCGAGATCAAATTCTTGTTTTACAAATTACGCGCTTTAAATTATTTCGAAAAACAGTGGGATCACGGATACCGTTATGGAACACCGCCAAACTCGCTTGATCATTTATAATTCGGTTTCATGAAGCGAATGATGATCTCGTTACTTTATTTAGTATCAAAAACAATTTGCGCAAGTGGTGTAACAGTCCTTCAAAGTTTCTGTGGCCGTTTCTTGGTTAAAATTTGAGATAACCAATCAACAGGTTTTCACTCTCATCCCTCCTACCACCACCATAGAAACAGGTTGAACGTCGAATGGTGTCCCAGTAAAAATAGATCGGCTGAAGTGAATTTAAATCGTGCATACTTTCTGAACCAGTTTCACCGATATGTTTTAGCGAAGGTGCAAGGAAATAAGTTTCAACGCGCTAAAAATTTTTGTTCGGATCTGTTGTCGATCAGGGATCGAACACGGTTGGCCTGTCTTCGATTTGTTTGAATTTAAATCGGCCCGTATTCTTTTCTTATTCTTACTTATTGATACTTCGTTGGTTTCGTTTCCAAGCGAATGCAACCTTTCGGACTATAAATAAATATTACACTTTCATAACAAGTGTCGTAGCTTTCAATTTGTTAGTGGCGGTAGTTAAACTGGGGAAAGGGAAACGAGTTTATAGTTCTTTTGGTGAAATAGTTACTTGTGCATTGTAATTCAGTTGATACTTTTACATGATGTATTATGTTAGAAAATTCGTTTATGATTTGCAACGTTGATAACAGTAAAAATAGACATATCTAGCCCGCATGGTTTTAGTGAAGCACGTTGTACAACGAACTCGGTCATCTTATTAACGATTGCTTACAAGGGTTCCAAGTGATTTTTGCCGTTTAGCGGTGTCATAATGGTGACTAGCGGTGTCCGGCAAGAATCACTTGAGTACCGTTATACAAAGTCGGTTACAGTAGTACGTTATCGTTGTGCATCCGAGGTTCTTCGAAAAATCGGCATTTTGCAACAAGCCTATGAGACTAATGAAGTGAATACAATGAAACTCATAAATTAAATTATTCATTTTTAGCTGCAAGATACCAAGTGCGTCCATCTGCATGTTTCCAAACTCGCACTACTTGTCAAGTTCGGGGTACATGTACGAGTTTTATCTTTTCAAGGGTCGCAGTCAGAATCGTGTCATATTCGTAGAATTTTTGATAGACGAGGCGTTACATAATTAACATTATGAATACATCCGATCGTGGGAACATCGGTGAACACGAACTGTCAGGAAATTCGTGGAACTGTAAAAACGTTCGCATGCGAAATTTGCACAAATTCCAGCATGGGCTCGTTGCGTTTAGCCTTGCCGATTCTCGACATTGTTCCTGTTCGTGAATGTCGCACGTCATTCTCGGAAAATCTAGTCACCACGCGTCGTTCTATCTAATTACGTTTAATATCGCGTTTGCATTTTGCGCTGCGTCCAGCGATTCGTTCGTCTGCAAAACTGAGAAATTTCTTCGAAAGTAAACGTCGATTATAAATCGATAGGATAATTCAAGCTGTATTGCGAACGCAGTACGAGCTATAAGAAATGTGATGGCAACAATCTGTCATAGTTAACACATTAAAGGCGGGGGATCTTGATGAAAGTATGCTAGGTAACTCGGCGACCGCCCCGCCTCGTTTGTCGTCCTAGAGCGGGCGATATTTTGTGTAATCATAAAAAAATTTAGACTTAAAAAAGTTTATTTATAAACTCTTAAAACTAAAAGAAATATTAAAAAAGAACTAAACACTAATTACAAAAAATGTTTTAAAGTACATATTTATGAGAAGTCGAGATAAATCGTAGTACTACGACTCCCGCCTTTAATGTGTTAATATCGTGGCTTCTTAAATCTACGCTTGACGAAGCATTTGGCTCCAAAATTTGTCAATTGTTCATTGCAGTGAAACTTTACTTGTATTATCACCTTTATTCGTATACTCGTCAAAAATACAAAAAAGGAAGAACAATGTTTGAATGATAATACGAATCTAGTATCTATAAGTACTCTAGATTAGAAAAAACGTGACTCTTTAAGTTTATAGTTCAAGTTGTAACAAATTCTAAAATGCTTCGTCTGGTTTTGCTTTCTTTCTTGTCCGCGTCTAAAGGATAAAAGGCCAACAGTCACGGTTTCAAACTGTTATTGAATATCGCTTCTGACTCTGATATGGTTATTGTAACCAAAAAGATCTCGTAACTAACTTTACAGCAGTTGCGTGACTTTTTCAGTTCTCTGTAACCGTTTCACGAACCGAAGCCGATATTGTAACTGTTTCCAATCCCCGATCGAGGTAACCGTACTCTCCGAAACTCGTGCATCTCTCAGCCTCGGGGCTTAAAATGCGTGCAAAATTGTGACAACCCGTTCAAGGTCACTCGAGTATTTATTTTACGATTAGCCAACCGGCTGCGTTTTGCGAAGAGAACGGTCGTGAGAGACGGGTTCAACGAGCGTTAAATAGGAGGTCATTCAAGGCCACAGAAGGTAGTAAATTAATCCTTTGAACGGCAGCTTCTCCCGCGGACAAAGCGTCCGTTCGAATCAATGAACTTTATTAATTGGCTGCTGGTTTCGGCTTGATGGGACGACCGAAAGGAATTTTCGCGTGTTCTCTATCGCCGGGCGCAAACACGCTCCTTTGTTTGTTCTATGCTCGATTGTTCTCCGTGTCCATTTTTCTTTTTCTTTTTTCGGTCGTATGATTATTCCTCGGACAATAAGCGTGTAAGCTGTCCCGTGCACGGGAACTATTGTGTCCTGCTCATTGTTTAACATCTCGAAGGCGGAGGGGTCATTCTCGTCTTTTTATCGATAAAAGGACGGAAGGAAGGAAAACCGCCCGAGGACACGGGCTTGATGGAATATCAGAGCGGGACCGTAACCTGCAGTCGGATTCATTTTCTCTCACTTCTCTTTATTTTCTCTCATTCCCTGGATCCAGCCTCGGCCGACTTCGTAGTCCAAGGGGTCGCGTGCAACGTCCTCGCGGTTTCCCGGTTATTATACCGAAATAATTGAAAGATCCTTCGGATAGGCAAACCGTGCGCGGACTTTCTTCCTCGAACTGGATGAGTCCGCGGACATGATTGCCGCGTGAACGTTGTGTCGGTGACGCGACGTGGCAGTTAGGCTCGGAACGGAATTACGGAAGACAAATACTACGATGCCAGCGCCTAATTAACTTATTGTGTTCACCACAGTCGCTTGTTCATAGCAGTCCGGTGATTCTTACCGTTCCGTCTGCGCTCTCTGTCTTCTGTTGCAACATGCGGGAACAACCATTGTGCACCGAGGCTCGAATGAATCCAGTCATTCTAAGCTGCGACCATCAGCCAGCAAGCATCTTAGCTCGGTACGTCGAGTTAAATCACTTGGAAAAAGGATCTTTAATTAGCTTGTTGTGTTCGTTAGTCCCGTATGTATGTCAGTACTGTGATTCCCTACCATTTAGACGATCCTGGCTCTTCCGCCTTGTAAAGATAACACCTGAGCCAAATCAGTTAACTCTAGAAGGTCTCTTAGACAATGTCAACTGATCAACGTTTTGCAACGTTTTGTACAATGCAGTATTAATCTTTACATATTAACACTTCCACGACCGCGCTAGAAAGCTCAAAAATTTTCATAAAATTAAAATATCTCATTCGATTAAACGAAAATTATGGAGCAAACTTATATGGCATCGATTACTTCTTCAGCATTCCTACCTCTTGCAAATCTTAATAAAATTAAGCAATCATTGTTAATTTTTCATTAATCATCCATTCGGTCGTCAACCGACTGAATTTAAAACGGGGAGATCTCCCCGTTCGGTTGTTTAAGTGTTAACTCCTCGGATACATTTTCTGTGTAAAGCATCGTTTCATATTATCAGCAAATATTGCCACGATCTAGTTTTTATAGTATTTTTATGTACGTCGAGATTCGTCACTGCGCTTGCAACGATCGTTAATAAGAATATTAGCAGTCACGGCAATGAACGCTCGATTAGTCTGATCGAACACCTTTTGCCAGAGGTATGCAATCGTGCCGCAGCACCGTGCAAGAACGGTTGCAGCACTGCATTCGCGCCGAGGCGCGAATAATTCGTGCCGCTCGGCCGGTGCATTTTTACGTTGCAGCCGGTACGAATTATCCGATCGCTTGAAAAGCGTCTTCTGTGACTTCTTTGTTTCTGCGAAGACCCTTGAAACATTCAGTGCCTACGCGTTTAGTTCGATTCGTGTCACCCACTTTTCGCTCAGTTAATCGACTGACACTGTTGAATGCTCGTCGTGCAAAGGAAGTATCTGGGTCATCGTGGTGCATAGAGCCGCGCGTACGCTGTGCGCGCGGCGTGTGCCCGCAGCGAAAAATTGAAAGCCTTTCGCATTCTTCGAGGGTAATGAGAAATAAGAATCGTTTGGCCGTGTTGTGCGCGTCGTTTTCGAGACAAGCCTGCACGCGAACCGCACGGAAATAGTAGATGGATCGATGGTGAAACTGCCGGCGATAAGCTCACCGCAGAGATGTGCATGCACCAGAATACCGCACTTCTTGCGGTCAAGGATCATTTTTTTTCCGAGAACAAGTGGGAACAATATTGTCGCGAATCGCAACCGCGCGGTCGCGGCATTGCGGCTCGCATCCGAAACGCCTCCCGGATACGATCTTACCAGAGAAACACGA